TGAAACCAATTGAGAGTTTTCTTGGCTTTGTGTTTGAGATCATTGTCTTTTCCATTCATCCTTCCTTCAATAATATGAAGTTTGCCAGTACCGTATGCTGAAAAACAGCCCCACACCATGATGTTCCCACTTTCAAACTTCACTGTTGGTATGGTGTTTTTGGGGTGATGTGCAGTGCCATTAGACCTCCAAATATGGTGTGTATTATGGCAAAGAGTCCAATTTTTGTCTAATCTGACCAGACTTCCAGTAATTCACAGGTTTGTCTAAATGTTGTGCAGCAAACTTTAAATGAGCTTCAACAAGCTTTTCCTTCAGCAATGGAGTCTTGTGTGGTGAGCATGCATACAGGCCACAACACTTTAGTGCATTACTTATTGTTTTCTTCTAAACAATTGTACGTGCTAATTCCAGGTCTTTCTGAAGCTTTCCACAAGTGGTCCTTGGCTCTTGGACCACTCTTCTGATAATTCTATTCACTCCTCTGTCAGAAATCTTGCGAGGAGCACCTGATCGTGGCCAGGTTATGATGAAATTATGTTCTTTCCACTTCTGGATTATGGCCCCATCAGTGCTCACTGGAACATTCAGAAATTTAGATATCCTTCTGTAGTGTAACCAATGCTATCAGTATGTTTTGCAACTATAAGGTTGCAAAGGTCTTGAAAGAGCTCTTTGCTTTTACCCATCATGACATGTTTCTTTTGTGATACCTTGGTAACGAGACACCTTTTTATAGGCCATCAATTGAGACTGAACCAGCTGATATTAATTTACACTGAAAAGGGGCAGGATTGCTTTCTAATAGATTTCTGCTGGTATCTTGGCTTTCCATGCCTTTTTGCACCTCATGTGTGTTCAATACTTTTTTCCTGTGTCATTCCATTTTATTACACATAACGTAACCGCTTCCCCTCCGCCCTATAGCAGCAATACTGCTACAGGACGCAGGGGTACACAAAATCACATTTATATACGTGATTTTGCATTTCCGGGTAGGGGGCGCGCGAGCCCTACCTGCACCGCCATTCGCGGCCTCAGCTGTCAATCACCAGGTGTATGTGTATAAACACAGCTCTCCCCCCTATAATTTCCTGCACCCTGCTTCATATGGCTCTGCATAGCAGAGCCATACAAAGCAGTGTGCTTACAGTGAAACACAACACGCTTAGTAAAACACACACAGCACAGTTAACCCTTTGATCGCCCCAGATGTTAACCCCTTCCTGCCGAGTGCCAGTTCTCTGGAGGGCAAGTGGTTAATTTCTGAACGTCTTTGTTTTGGTTTCTTTGTACGTGTGGATTGTATGGGTTGTTACAGACATGGTGAAAATTTCATGTCAGAAGCACCTTTAAAAATATATTTACTTAGGAAAATGGTGACGGATTCAATACTTATTTTATGCGCTGTATATACATTTCAAAGGTGTATTAGAGGTTTGCTTGGAGTTGAAATGTAAAATGAAAAGGGTTAACAAATGTACACCCTACCTCCCCCAGTCCCTGCTCCACTTATTTTGAAGATTCTTATCTTTCACAGCCCAAACAGCCGGTGCAAAGAGCTAGCAATTTGAAAGCCACGGTGCAAAGGTCTGGCAATTTGAAAGCCACAGTCTTCTTCCAGGATGGATCAGAGCGATTCTGGTTGTTCATGTGCTGGCACATGACTGCTTTTGCCAATTAGAATTGCTCTGATCCATCATGATATTCCAAAGGACAGAAGGGGAAGAAAACTTCTGCTTTCAAATCATTGGACCCCTTCACTGGCTACGTGGGCAGTGAAAACTAGGTGGGAGAGTGGAAGGTGTACAGCATTACCATCTTTTTCATTTTTTCTGAAACTGTGAACTTACACTTAAAACTATAAAGCGTACAAGATTGCAAATTTAACTTTTATAAAATTTAAATATTATAGAAGGTTTAATTAATTCCTTTTTGGAAAAGGGCAAAACTGAATGCAAGAGAATTTGTTTTGTGCAAATTTAAAAATGGATAAACTGTCCATTCTGGATATTTCAGATATTTAACGAGATGTCTGAGAGTCTCTTCCCTTATCTGCCAAAATAGCCTTACTGTATCCTACCGGGCACCATTAAATCCCAAAAGTCTAATCTACTGAGATTTCTTCTATCAGCTGCAAGAGAGCTTATCTGTAAATTCTGGAAAACCACGATCACCCCACCACTAACTTTATGGGTGGATAACATTAATGATATCATGCTGATGGAGGAAATGCCGGCTAAGGATTCAGACATTTGGGAAAGACATAAGAAATTATGGTTTATATGGTTACATTACTCTTCTTCGAATAAGCTCCGCAATCGACTCCCCCACCGACCAGGTCTGTCGACGAGTTGATTTCATCCTTTTAACAGGTTACCTTTTTAATTTTGGTCTAATTTACAGTCCCTCTCATGAAAGTATTATTTACCTCTACTTGTGATTCAGGGGATTTATTTACTTAGGTTGACTATTAGATGGAAGTTTCTCGCTGCTTCAGTCTTCTTGAATTTGCAATGTTATTAATACTGTTCATGTCTAAGTATAAGAGCAGCTGTTTTGTAATATCCGAATGCTACTTTCTGTTCTTTAAATTGTTCTCACTGTTTCATCCCCTCCTTCCCTCTCCCATTTTATTTTTCTGTACCCAAATTTCTATGTTTCAATAAAAATATATTCAACATAAAAATGGATACACACAATTAAGTTGTAAAATTATACAGTGGTTTTAATAATCTACGTCATATTACTCCAAATAGGACTCAAACAAACCAAAGGTAAAAGAAATGACCAAACAGTTGGGAGAAAGAATCAAGATGTTCAAAAAGTGGTTACAACACTATTCACAAACTGCTGCAGATAAAAGATTTATCATTCAAGGGCGAATACATCAGGGTTTCATATCATTATCAGAGCACAAGATAATTCAAGGTACTGTGCAATCAAAATGCGAACAGGGAGTACAGCCTAAATGCTCAAGGTTTTCAGCCCTATATCTATACACAACTGTGGTAAACCAGTCCATCCTGCTATCTCTACTATGTAACTAGGGAAGTGAAAAAACAAATATAATGGAGAGCTTTTTGCAGTCTCTCATATAGAAAGCCTTAAACAAAAATGCCAGCAGCTAAGAATTTTATTACAACCATCAGATTAAAACTTACTAGAATGTGAGGGTGAGAACATTACAGCATGTTTCAAAAGTACACTATGCGTTCCTCCTGTACCTTACTCCAAAAGCAAGTTTTAATTTGCAGTGGTTGCCATTTTTTTTCTATTTCTCTGCCAAATCCTCTCCCCCCACCACCACCTCCATGTGAAGGGGAAGATGGGAAGAGAGGGGTGAATAGGTCCCAGTACTGTGCACGGTTGCATCTATTCTCCTCTATCTTCATCTTCACACAGCACTTGAGCAGCAGCAGGAGCCACTGGATTGTGCAGCTGTCAATCAAATGCAAGGAGAAGGAAGTGGGGGGAGGGGCTAGGTCTTGCTGTGTAAGTCTATTGACCGTGGCTCCATAGACACACAGCTCAGGAGCATGCAGACACTGTGTGCCTCCATTGCAAACGGCTAGCTATGGGGACACACGAAGAAGAAGAGCCAAAATCACCAGCAGGGGACCCAATAAGAGGTAAATCTGCACACAGCAGGTGAATATAACAGGTTTGTAATTAAAAAAAAACTTTTTTTTTTTTTTTTGAGTTATCACTTTAATGCAATTTGTTAGTGTATTTTTAAAAAACATTTTCTGGTAGGCGAGTCTGCTGAGAAATAAATGCTGCTTTATCTACTCTGAAAAGCTCTTCCATGTGCTCTCTCTGCACACGTTAGAGCATACGACACACAGACCGGGTCTCGGGAGTTAACATACACTTGGGCCCCCATAAAAAGCGGCTTGCTATAGTGGGCACTAGTAGAGGAGATGTGGCCAGGAGTGGCAGCAGCGGACCAGAGAAGAGGAAGATCAGGGCTGCTCTGTGCAAAACCATTGCACAGAACAGGAAAGTAAGACTTGTTGGTTATTTTAATTTAAAAAAAATGATCAGCTTTGCAATCACTTTAAGGTAAACGGAGTGAACTTTGCCAGAAAGCAAAAATAGACTGCGGGTGATATTTTCTAACACACTGCTGGCTTCCTGTGCAATAATATTAAAGAAGAAGTAATATATGATAACCCACCAACTATATTTTATTGCCTCCTTTTGAGTCCAATGGATGCATACATTAGCAACAAAGCTACACTAAATGTCAAATGATTCAATGCACATAAAGCAAAATTTCTTATCTGTTTAGGACATTTACAAAATCCCCAGATGAGCCCTTCAGAACATCATCTAGCTCGTATCTGTAACAAGGGAATAAGCCGACTTCCCCAACTGAGGTCTGTGGGGAATTCTTCCTTTGCCTCCTTTGAACACTGAACAAATCGAGAGCAAACTATCTACACAAAAAGGTGAACAAAGGTAACTATATATTTTTTAAATATTTTTTTACACTGAGAACTATGTAGCTTAGACTCTGTGAAAAATAGTAAATCATTACTTACGACATGAATTGTGAACATAAAACAACTGAGCTTTTCATAAGACTTTGTTACAGTATATATTTCTGAGCAGAAGTCAAACACATTCTGTATGCAAGTGTTGTCAGTTATCATGTATACAGCTGTATGTTCAATTCACAAAATGTGTCACTGCAAATGAATTACAATATTGTATCATCAACTTCCCACCACATGGTACTTTGAACATGTAATAGAATTACACTTTTTTTTTTAGTGGAATATGAAATTTTCCATAGTTCTCTTTCACTTCAGTTATGAGTAAACGGCTAATTTTAAACTGCTTTAAATCTGATCTCTAAATGAACACCATTGAGACTGTTTGGAAAGCACACAATGCCAGTGATGAGGATGGAACATTTGGACAGTCATGTGAGGTACTCACCATTCACTAGACTGAAGTGTAGGAGAGTCATTCTGCGCTATATGGTATAAGGCACTCATTGCATTCATATTAAACAAAGGAGGTTTCCTTTCAGCTGTGGAGAAAACACATCGAAGTGTTACATTTTACAAATACTGTACATATTCTTCCTTGAATTACAATCAGTAGATTATTTTCCCTGCCTAAATCAATCAAATCAAAAGGTAACATAAGATGAATGTGTCTTTAGTTAAGCGGTTAATACACCAGGTTATATATACATATACACAGTTTAAAAATTCCATAGAAATTTCTAAACAGCAAAAGAGAAATCACGGAGCATGAGACAGAAGTGTGTTAGAAGAGAATCATTAAAAGAAAGACCATTGGAGAGAACCATAAAGGAGGAAGAATGAAAGAACATAACCAGGGAGTGAGTGGGACAGCATGATATAGAAACAGAGAAAAGACAGAAAAGAAAAGAATAGGTAAAAAGCTGCAGCATTGACCATACATTGCCTATGAGGAAGTCGAATGAATGACAAAATACATCAGTCGGATGTAACGTAAGACGCAACCGGAAGTGCCGTGGCGGCCATTTTGGAGATTGGTAGAATCAAGCTGCTTGTACCTCAAATATATGTAAGCGCAATTGTACATTATTAAATTGGAATTTTAAGCAATACTGCAGTATGGGAGCATGTTTAATCATTCATGATCACTGAGAGTTTATGAAGAAGCGAGGAGGAGATTGAGTACGTTGATTATATGATTTTGAAAAGGCTATTCACAAGACATGCATGGTAAGATGCATGCCTGAAGGGGAAGAGATTGAACACATTTGGCTTCGCACACAGGTGGTGGATGCAGGATGGACACGTGTATTGTGGATTTTATTCACAGTATAAGAGTGAAATGCACATTCTCACCCTAAGAGGGTAAGAGTATTTCAGGGAAGAGTGGTGTACACCTTCTATATATTGCACACGGGTGCACATGTAGCACCTTTATATAAACAAATACTACACTATATTAGTTTTTTTTTCTTTTGGAGATTTTGGATCAGTACACTGGAAGATCACATGAAACACAACATATTCTGGCTAAAGAGATCTTGATGAGAAGACAGGAAGATTGTAGTATGAAGTAGTGCGCTGTTGCTGGCATATAATTGACCATACAGTATAATTCAAGGAATTATCCAAACTGGGTTTGGCTGAAATGCCTGACAAATAGGGACTGACAAACCGCTTATGGAGCTAGACAGTCATAAGAACAAGATGACCCTTTATACTTAGTAATTATGGATTATGCATTATAAAGGAGAGAAAAGACTGAGGACTACACACATTAGAAAGAAGGCCAATGTGCAAAATTGGGATTCCACCTGAACTGATAACACTATGGCAAGTGGTTGTGGCTTTAATTGTCCAGGAGGCATTTATGGGAAAGTGAACTAGTGAATAAAATGTGGAGCAGGTGGGGTCCCTGACAAGCACATCACATAGTTTATAAGATACAAGGAGCCAAAAGAAAAAAAAAAAAGTCCAAAACATGAGAAATACAAAAACAAACAAAATTTCAAAGTAAAGTGAAGCTAGGCCTCAAAGGACCCAACTGTCTAAAAAAAAAAAAAAAAACACAATAAAGGGAAAAAATAAAAAACTTCCCCCCAGCACCCCTGTGCAGTACCATCCCCATCAAAAACTAGAAAAGTATACATTCCACAAGGACTGACGAGAGCAATTTGTGTGTACATTATATCACTGGAATGACTCCCTTAAAAATGTTAACCATGATTCCATGCTGGTCATGTAGGACAATAATGTCAGATATTCAACAAACATTTATCCCCAAGTCCCAAACAGAGCTAGGTGATAAAGAGCACACCACTGTTGTCCCAGGATTTACATTCCTGTTCTGGCTCATATCTCTTAAAGTGGAACTTTACCCACAATAATTTGAGAATAAAAAATATGTCAACCCTCATCTTTGCATATACCTATAAAAACAAAGCAAATTCCTTCCCTCTTCATAAGTGATCATATACCCTCTGTTCTCAGCTGCATAAGGAGCTGGGGGGGGGGGATAAACAGCACCCCCCTGATCTTCCCAATGAATGGCTGTGTGTATGTTTGAGAAGAAAGCTACATATATATAGTGACTGAACCAGGAAGCGCCATACAGTCCATCTACCCGAAAGTGACGTAACAGATGTCCTGCCCTACACGCTTTGATATGTGCAACGTTCTCAGGAGTTTCATGGGACTTTATTTTGTACATGCATTGTGTTTTTGCATCATTTCTTTGTTTTTGCAAGCGGTGTTTAATTTTATTCCAAAATTAACATGTGCTGTAAATTGCCTCCAGCATTGTTCCTGTTTCTTCTTGCTGTAGGCCGCTATTTTGTTGAAGCCCAGTGCAGTCACTTCCTTATTAGATACTCTCCCCCTCTCCTTGGTCTCAACACACTATATGTCACTTTTAATTACTTCAGTTTTTTACCAAGCAATGCAGAGTAACACAGGAACAGAAGGGTACGGTGGTCTGTCCTATACTGTACTGCAAGATAAGGAATATATGGGTAAAGCAACATTCCTTTTAACCTAATTGTACAGTACAGGGCTCAGGCTGGATATTTAAAAACCCTGGGACATCCACAAGCAATGAATCAGAAGGGTGGGCAAGACCAAGGCAAAGAAAAGCATGCCAACAGGTACAACAAAACAGAAAAGGGTCAAAGACACAACTAATGAGTGCTCCTGAAAGAACCTAGCGACCAGAAGCTCCATACACAGCGGCCTAAACATCCACAGTGAACTTGAAGGAAGTACAAACTGGATACCAAGTGGTGGTCTTACAACTCCTAAGGTTTTTGAATTAGGATGCACAGGGCTAAAACCTGTCTCGACCGCAAGAAAGCCAGAAAGTGAAGTACCAAGTAGTCTCTATAGGGTTTAAATGCTTGACACTAGATGGTCCTCCAGGTAGGGTAGTAGATTTTTTTGGAAGATGCTTTTCTGGATTTGAGTATTGTGGGAATAAAAGTCAGATATACCGTGTCCTCCAAGACAGTAATGCAGTTAAAGTCAGTGACTGAAAGTAGGATGTTACAGGAGGCTTTGAGACAGCATGACTGGCCTGTAAGGAGTGGCCAGGAGTTGTCCCCCTAGAAGTTTGAGTACATCTTTTTACCAAGTTCTTCTGGACCAATTGATGCAGTGACAGCTTTCTTCATTTCCTCTTTTCTGTGTATAAATTATTAAAATTTTTATAATTGTTTTTATATATAAAACTTTTCTCCCCCTTTTTCCCCACTTTCCACTCTCTTTCGCTCGCTCTGTTCTATACCCATTTTCTTCCAACTCAGTCCATCCTTATTAGTGACATTGCTTTTCATCACACGCAGCCTCACATGGACTCCGGTAACAATTCATCTCCAGTTCCAGGCCAATTATTAAATAATCCACCACCTCAGGTTAGCTGCATTCTCTATTCAGTTTCCCTCCTCATCTACACAATAGAATAGCCTCTGCAAAGCTCTCATAGGCAGCTGTGCCACGTGTTCAAAATTTCTATGCCCGCTAAATATAGGATATGGCACATCAGTGACACCCACACCAAAATCATGCACCACTTTATGAATTATCTCCATATTATACAATTCTTTCCAAACAGGAAAATAGTCTTAAAAAATTCACCCATTATCGCCTCAGAAATTGTATCACAGATATACTGAATTTTATTTTGAACGTTTGAGTTTCACTACAAACCTTTAAATTTTGTCAAAATGTTTTTCACTTTTATTGCAATTACAAAATATTTATGATGTATTTAAATTTTTTTTTGTATACTAGCTGTGATGAAAGGAGGGTGCTTTTCCCCCAAAATGTGTTGGCTCCATTTGTACCCGGTGAACAGTGAATATCAATAAATATGTTGTATAAAAGCCTGAAGTGTGACATCCCTGCATATCAAGTGTGCCTCCCATCTCATCTACACTTACCCTACAAAGCGATCGCACGTCGCTACCAGAGAGAAGCCGCAGCCGAGTCCCCATCAGGATTAACTTTCCCTTCACCCTTGGGTACCCAAGGAATCCATTTGAAGAGCACCATATCACCTCCAGAGATACCAGAGTCCATATTGGTCCAGTGCTGTCTTATACACACACACTCCTGTGTAGCAATTGATGAAGAACCTGCTCTGGAGGCAGTGCATATTTCAATCTGAAGGAGTCCATGAAATTACCATAACATCCAATGCCACTGCTAGAGGATCCATGGTCCTGGACACAAAGAGGGGTAACTTGCTGAACCTGGAGGCTAGGATGTCCAAATCTGGAGTCCCCCGTTTCGGACATTGCAGTTTAAAGATGTCAGAATGAAGGGGCCATTCCTCTCGGTCCAGGTTGTAATGACTGAGGAAATCCAGCTTCCAACAGTCCACTCCCAGTTTGTGAAGAGCAGAGATTGCTTTTCCGTCCAGGATATAATCAGACTTGCTTCCTTCAAGTCATGCCTGATTCTAGGTTCGACCGGATGATTAAATTAGGCCACTGCCATGGCACTGTATTATTGCACCCTGATTGAGTGTCTCTGGAGAAGGAAGGGGTGTCTATTGGTGCAGAGTAAATTTTTTTACTCTGAGAGCCAAGATGTTGATGGGGGCTATGCTTTCTTGTGTGACCGGGTTCCCTAAATTGTGAGAGACTGAAACACTGGCATCAGTGGTTATCTTCCATGGGGTTGTAAGAAAGGAATTTCTACTTTCCAAGGCAGGATTGGTAATCCACAAAGTAATGGAGTGTCTTGCTTGACTGGAGAGAAGCACAGGAAAGTTGAGCGAAGCGGTATGTCTGGCATGCCAACAGAAAGTTTTGCTGGAGGGGTCGGAACAGAGAAATAGGAACAGCCTCAAAGGAGGCAACCATGAGTTCTAGGACTCTCATGGAGAATCTTATTTAAGGATGTCTTTTGGATCTTAAGGTTTGAGCCTGAAACATTAGGAAGATATGTCTGTCTGATGGAAGGAAAATTATCTCCTGGGCCTTGCTTAGGATGAGACCTAGGTATTCCAGACAAAGGGAAGGCCGAAGGACAGACTTTTGGAAATTGATTACCCAACCCCAAAGAATTTGGATTGTTTATTGGACATTTACAGACAGTTGAGAGGGTGATAAATGCTTCAGAATGTTGCCTAGGTACCCAAGAACATGGATGCCCTGAGTTCTTAAGAGTGTGAGAAAAGATACAAGCACTTCTGTGAATACTCTGGGTGCAGAGGACAAGTCAGGCTGCTATATTTGTCTCATACTGCAAAACACAGAAAGTGCTGATGAGGTGGGCAAATGGGAATATGGGGGTCCCTTTAAGTGCTCTCAAATTAATCAAACATATAAAAACTAAATGTATACAAAGTGCATCAAGTGAGTAAGTTAATCATATAAATCACTTAAAGTGAATAAAGTGCATAAGTGATTAGACAATAAAGAAATAATTATATGGCATTAACAAAACAATGTCAATTTGATTCTCCTTCTTTAGGGTCCTCTGAAAATCTTCCGTGGCAATGAAAATGCACTGAGCAGGTTTAACTGTGATGTCATCTCACACGGTGATCTCAATGCAGTTACATCTGTTCATATCGTGAGTACTATTTACTGTGCTAATAAACTCCTTCTTGAAGACATTACAGGATACAGTCTGTTTTGTATACTTTCCTCAAGGTGTGATTTGTACACTGCAAGTGACTGCTACTGAAATCAGGGGTCTCAGGCATTGTGGGAACATAGGCTGTATTGACCTCCTATAGCACAGAGGTTATCAATATCTGGTAAGAAGTTTGTGCACCTGGAGATGGGGGAGCACATGGAGTATCACCTGTTTGGGCAGTGATTTTACAGCACTGTTTTTGGCACAGTTTTTGGACTTTGACAATGTGACATTTATGTTTTAATGTTATATAATTATTTATTGTCTAAGCATTTATGCACGTTATTCACATTACCTGATTATATGTGGGAAGTTATTTCATATTTATTAATGCATCTATTAATTTACTCACTTGATGAATTTTGTGTAAAATTAAGTTTGTATAGGTTTCATTTGAGAGCACTTAAAAGGGACAGCACATTTACGTTTAGTATTTATTTCTACGTATCCCCCATTCGCGTATTCGTGTGCTGCAGTACTCGATTTATATATTTTATTGACACAGAGAAGCAGGTGTTTGTTAATCTACTTAATCTTGAATATCTACTTATGCCAAGTATTCCCCGTGTCTTAGAGAGGTAACTGACCTTGAGGATTCCATGAAAAACATGTGAACATAAAGGCACTTGTTCAGGAACTTTAGGTCCAGAATTAAACAAATACCTCTGTTGGATTTTGGTACTGTGAACAGGCTTGAAAAAAAAATCTTATGGACCAATCTTCCAGAGGGATAAGAACAATACTCCCTGGGACAAAAGATCGCTCAAGGCAGTCTGTAAATCTGACTGTCCTTGGACAGATTTTAGAATGCAAACAATAACAGATGTCCCCCACACTTAAAAGTGAGGGTGCACCTTCATTGTGGAGAATGCTTTTTGGCAGACTGGGTGGGCTTTGTGTTCCAAGTCTTGCACTGAAAGGAAGGACAGTTGAAGCCTGAGGAGAGTTTTGTGGTACTCTGCATTTTGAGTAGGTAGATGCCCTTGAAAAGAGGGGCTTTGAAGCCTCCTGCTGTGGGAGAAGGACCTATCCTCCAGTGAAATCTCTTATGAACTTGTCAAGTACCTCACCAAAGAGTCATGGATCCTCAAAGGGCATATGAGCAAGGCATCTTTTATAGGCTGCTTTATCTGACCAGGCCTTCAGTCATAAGATTCTGCACATATGAACAGAAATGAGAACTCTTTGCTTTTTTAAATTTAAGACTTGTCCCCAGAACAAGACATGAAGGAAAATCTTCCCAATGGGGACACCTATTCCACGGACAGCTAAGAGGGAATGGAACTCCCCGCACTTTGGGAGATATCCTTAATGCTGAATCACTGGGGCAGTAAGTAATGGGAAATATCTCCAATGGTACACAGAAAGCCAAAAAAAACAAAACATAGAAAAAAAAGGAGAACAAAGAACCTGGTAGGGTTCTTAAAACTTCCCTACTCTGTCAAAAAAACAAAAAAGGTAAAGATGAACTAACACTAACCAACCCTCTGTATCCCCATCCCCCTACTCCCATTCACTGATGTACTTACCTCTGAGGATAATGATCTGCAAGCGTCCCTGCAGCTGCTCTAGGGTATTTGAGAACCCCGCTTACGGGTTGGACCAGATCAACTCTGACTGGTCAGTGCCAAAGTTAGCCGTTCTGGTCTGTCCGGAAGCAATGCACAGAAGAACAAGAAGAGGGGGCAACTTATTCTCAGACAGCTGTACTAGTTATGGGGGCATTGACAGCCCTGCATCCCCGGAAGTACAGCAGAGACCAGTGAAATGGGGAGGGCATATGGTTTTGATCTTTAAATTATTTTTGTAAAGGTGGTGAATCACTGTAATTTACAGCACAAGAATCAGGTAGTTTGCCCTGCAGTGAATGTAATATTCACTTCTTTATAAATATGCCCCATAAGGCTAATCCTAAAGCAAAAGGACGGAGCATTCTTGAATAAACGGGTTTGGGTACTGACAGCGATTCAACAGTTTTGGAAAAGTATTTCAAATCACAGCAAGTTCAAAACGCCCAGGAAACATTTCAAGCTTTTTGAGCAACTAATCACATATTAAAAGTATATTTTCTTATCAATAATTTCTCAATCAAAATGAACCAACCAATCTATGCACAAACCGTTCCATAGTAGATCAGTCAGACTAGGTTACTGAATATGCCAACAGCAAATTACTTTCTTATAATGCAGTCTTTAAAAAGCGTGATTTTGAGATATGCCATTCAAGATCTATAAATTATCTGATATAGTACTGTAGGGTTTCACATGACATATTACATATTTTGCATTAAAAAAAAACACACGTCAGGGTGGACATACCTAGTTCAATACAAGTAATCCCCAAAGACCAAACGTCTACTTTTCCATCATACTGTCCTTCATCCATGGCTAAGATTACTTCAGGGGCCATCCTAAAATATAAACATGAAAAATTAAAATGGAATCCATGAAGTTTCCTGAAAAGTCCTAATATTTTCTTGCAAAGTCATTTTTTTTTAGAAATGAAAACCAGGTTCCTGTTCCCTTGAGGGTCCTCCAATTAGTACCAGCAATGTCAGGTGTCCTCTAAGATAGGCTCTGTGAATGGTGAGACTCACAGAGAGCCTGCTCACACTGTCAGTGTCCTCTGTCTGGTGCACAGCGTACAGGCAGGAGATCTGCTGCTACTGGATCATTCTCATCATAGGATGAGAATGAACCAGTAGCAGATCTCCTGCCTGTACACCAGACAGAGGACACTGACAGTGTGAGCAGGCTCTCTGCGAGCCTGACGTGTCGCCTCCACTAATGAATGTGAAATATACTCAACGGACTATATCCATAAATAATATAAAATTCAAAATCATTTTTTAATTAATTATAAATAACATATGTGAGTCCAACTTTGGTTTGCAGTCCTTCTGAAACTGCGTGCTTATTTAAACACAATCGGTGCTTATTAAGGAGTCTTCCTTTAGTGCAGTGCTTCTCAAATAGTGGGCGCGCCCCTCTGTCAAGGGGGGCGCGTTTGACCTCGGGGAACATACCGTATTTTCCGGCGTATAAGACGACTTTTTGACCCTTGAAAATCTTCTCAAAGATGATGGGGCATTATTCCTCCCACTGACACAAACGATGGGGCACTATTCCTCTCCCCACTGACACCAACGATGGGGCACTATTCCTCTCCCCACTGACACCAACGATGGGGCACTATTCCTCTCCCCACTGACAGGATACTATTCCTCCCACTGACACCAATGTTGGGACACTATTCCTCCTACTGACACCAATGTTGGGACACTATTCCTCCCACTGACAGCAATGATGGGGCGCTATTCCTCCCACTGACACCAATGATGGGGCGCTATTCCTCCACTGACACCAATGATGGGACGCTATTCCTCCCACTGACACCAATGTTGGGACACTATTCCTCCCACTGACACCAATAATGAGGCACTATTCCTCCCACTGGTATAAAATCAATAAATAATAATGAATTCAAACCGATCACCAACATTTACTTAGGTCCTAAGTAAATGTTGGTGATCGGTTTGAATTCATTATTATTTATTGATTTTATGTATTTTTTTCAGTATCATATGGTTTGACATGTCCAATCAAAAAATGTTTATAGTTTAATTAGGGATTTAATTTTTTTTTGAATTTCTAATGCACTTTAAATCTTTTCTGCTACAGTTAATAAAGCTATTCTTTGTTGTAAATTGATCCACATTTCTTTCTTTTTTTATTCTCTTATACGTTAATAAGGATACAGTGTTATGCAGAGGTGTACTTATAACAATTTTATAGACAAATTATACTATTTACAGTCGCACGGGGGGCGCGAAATGTTTTCTTCTTCCTAGGGGGGCATGACAGAAAATAATTGAGCACTGCTTTAGTGAAACATACAAAAGTCCACAAAAACTTTTACTTCCCCCTGATGAAGCCACGTGACCCGGTGGCGTAACGCGTAGACACAGCAAGTATAAGGAGTGTGAAAAACACACAGAGGATCATATAATATTGTACCAAAAAGCGATTTTATCATGTATATCATGTGAGTGCACTACAATTTGTTTAAATAAATACATTTTAAAGGAGATAAGGCACTATATTATATTCTTTGATTATATGACATCTACATTCATGAAGTAATAAGCCAAAAAGGAGTGAAGAGACCCCCTAGAGGAGAGAGGGATAACGCCATCCATCCAACTCCAGGAGAAAAAGGTCCCTAGGAATCGGCGAGACCCCCTGTTGAATAAAAAGGGAAATACTCCATCCATCTGGGACAGGGATACATAAATCCATTCATTTCCAAGTCCATTTAAAGGGACACAAGCTGTTTTTGACCTCACTTAAAGGTTTGGTCATATAAATCAAGTAAGTCCACACTGGTGAAGGAGCACATTAAAAGTAAACGTTTTTGTGAACTTTTGTATGTTTCACTAGAGGAAGACACCTTAATAAGTAGGAATTGGGTTTAACCCCTTGATGCCAACGTCACACAAATGTGCGGCCTCATGGAACTGGGCTTTTTTCCGTGGGGCCGCATATTTGCGTACTTGTCTTTGTGCTGGGAGCGTGCCGCTCATTGCGCTCCCAGCACAAAGACCACGGTGTCACTGAGAGCCCCGGGACTCCCAGTGTCGGGTCACATGATCGCTGTAATAGCCTCTGATTGGCTATCACAGTGATCAGTCACTGTACAGCCCGGTCCCCTTGCTTTTTTTCTCTCTCTGTGAATGTAGAAGAGAGATACATTGTATCTCTCTAACTCCTGGCATAGAGAGAAAAAAAATGTGTGTGTAAAAAAAAAAAAAAAAGAAGATAAATATTAAAAAATAAAATAAAAAATAAAGAGAAATACCTAGATCAAGGTTTGATCTAGTGCAGTGCTAGGGTTAGTGTTTGGGTCAAGGTAAGGGTCAAAGGTCGAATGTCAAGATTTAAAAAATAAAAAAAAAATTGGTATCAGTGTCAGTTAGTGTCAATGTCAGTGTGTTTTAGGTAAAAAAAAAAAAAACAAACTATTGTTTCTGGGCTGTACTACAGGTACACACAACAAATAACGTACACATATATGGTATCGCTGCGATCGTCAAGAGCTGGAGAATTTATTTTGGGTTGTTCTTTGGTGGTAGGTTATGGTAGTAGCAAGAAACACACAGCTAAAAAAAAAAATGATTTTTTTTTTACTATTTTGGGCCAGTTTTCCTTTGATAAAAAAAAAAAAATCAAGAGCTATCTATTACCATTTACCACCAAATGAAAGCCCAATTTATCCTGAAAAAATCAAGGTATAATCCACCTGGATGTATAAAGTAGTTGTGATGATATGTATGGTTTTACGTTGCAGAATTGCACTTAGGCATTTCAATTTGTTTTACCCTTAGGCGTGAAGGGGTCAAATAAGCACACAGTTTCAGAATGACTGCAAACCAAAGTTGGAGTCACAAATGTTATTTATAAGTAATTGAAAATTTAGAATTTTATATTGTTTATGGATATAGTCTGTTGAGTATATTTCACAGTTATTAGTGGAGTGCGACACGTTTGCATTTGTTTTTGATTATGTTTTCTAAGTTTGTTATAAAATTTTAAAAACAGAAAATCACTTCATAAATTTAGGCCAAAATGTAGCCTGCTACAGTTCTTTGTTAAAAGTAACCCAAATCAGTGATTATTTAGTCTATGTGAAAATTATAGAGTCTAAAGACTATGGGATATATTACCTGAAAGTTGATCAATCCTGATGTACTGATCTCATTTCTTGAGACGCTAAAATGCCAGGACAGCACATATGACTCCAAAAGACCCCCTTTTTTTTGGAAAGCAGACAGGCCAAGGTATTTAGTAAGAGGCATGGCAAGTTTTTGAAGTTGTAAATTTTTGTCACAATTTTTTTGAAGATTAGGAAATTAAATTAGTTTTTTTTACATGCAGTACAGTGTCGTGGATACCTTGCTAGTCTGCTACGTGTGGAGGAATAGTTGTCAGAGTTGGCAAGAGACCCGCCAAGTAAAAGGTGTGGAGGAATAGTTATCAGTATTGGCAAGTGTCCCGCAGAGTAAACTTTACTTGGTGGGACACTTGCCAATACTGACAACTATTCCTCCACACCTAGCAGACTGGTCAGGTATCCACGTGGTGGCTCTTTAGGACCTTTGTAGTTGTGTGGCGAACTGAGGGGCTGCTGTTGAACTGGCGATTCTAGGTGGACATCGGCCCTGTTTTCCCCTCTCTCTGTGGGTTGTTTTTACCAGTATTGGATATGGTTATACCGACACAGATTTTGATTCACTACTATACCCATCTGTACCCCTGAAGAAGGAACTTTGTTAAAAAAAACAAGTTGGGAGTTATTGGAAGACCACACCGCTATCAATCAAGATATCTTTTTGTATCGGTGTATGTGTATTCCACAAGGGTAAATGTTGAATATGTAGTGCTTTGTATAATATGTGCAGGGGCGGCACAGTGGCTTAGTGGTTAGCACTTCTGTCTTGCAGTAATTGGGTCATGGGTTCAATTCCCAACCATGGCGCCTCCTGCATGGAGTCTGCATGTTCTCCCTGTGTTCACGTGGGTTTCCTCCGGGTACTCCGGTTTCCTCCCACACTCCAAAAGACATGCTGGTAGGTTAATTGGTTACTGTCTAAATTGTCCTAGTTTCATCCCTGGCCATGAGGGATTTCCTGCATGGTAGGGGTTGGGGAAAGACCTGGCAACCTACCCTGTAAAATAATTGCTAAGAGAATTCATGGAAAAAGTCGCTTACGAGTGACGGTCCATGCAATCGCCAAGGGTCAGATACGACTGGATAGATAGATAGATAGATAAATATGTGCAATTGCTGTTGAACCATTACCAGGTTTTATAGACCTTTCGGCCAAAAATTCCTCATACGAACAAAAATTGACAATTGGTCTTTTAGATTCTTCTTCTATTTTTACTGTCGCTAAAGTCCCAAGGGGATTTTCAGGTACCTTTTAGGTCCTTCTATTTATATATTTTAATGATCAGTGAGCTGTAGGGATCAGTACCTAAATGGTTCTGTAGATGACCCATCCCCTGGCTCCTTCTAAAACATTATGTGCCGGTTTCAGTCAGATACCTGAAGAAGGGGTGTGCCCCGAAACATGTAGCTGTCCAAGCAACCGGTGAATTTTACTTCTTCTCTTGTGCAGTGCACCGTTCAGACTGTGTGTTCAGATGCCCATTTATCCTAAACTCAGACGTTCGGGCAGGCCTCTTGACAGGACAGTGACGTCACATCCGGTTCAGAGCTCCATTTGTTTCTGTCTCTTGAGTGTGAGCTGGTGTCTACTATTGGTGATTTCTTCCATTGCCCGCATCATAAGTTACACATGCCAGCTTTCTGCCACATACATGATGAACCTCTGGTGCGACAGCGACATCCGACCAGTCATACCGGTGTCCCCCACAAACCACATATGAGCCCAGCCAGCTCTACATTTCTGCAGGGGACCACACTCCATGATAACCAGGACATGGGCTGCCCATAACAAGGTTTACTCTGTTAACCCTTCAAGACATTTTATGGACACCAATAAATGTACTTTTCTTTTACTTTTAACTCCTTCGTGGACAATTTTGTTATATTGTAGACCTGCATTCCTTGGCGCTCCTTATACAGTTGTAGTCTTGTATTCATGTGGTTCATTTGAGTTGTGAGCTGCTGAAATTGTCTACACTACTCATTATGCTCAACATAAACTGGCGCAAAAGATGAAGGGTTTCCATTACTGTTTAAAAAAAAACAGGTAAACAAGCTGTTTATGAATGAAAACCATTCATGACAGTTTGCTTACATAAATATCATGTCATCGCTCTGACTGGTCATAGCAACCACATGATACCCCAGCCACTCACAGTGCCATAATCCGCTGTGTCAAACGGACACATCGGTCACAGGATCGCACCACTGCGTGAAGTAAAAGTACTGTGGGTAGATGCCCAGTGGTTTCTTAGCTAGCTAAAGATACACCTCACACGTATACATACATTAAAGGCTACATTCTTCTTCAAAAACACAGGAGTTTAAATCCTTTTCTTCTGTCTTCTCTCTCTGTATTTTTCATTGTGTATTCATATTTTACTGGATTTTATTGATTTTCTGTATTTGCTGTGCTAAAATTAATTTTCAATGAAGTTTTTGCTGGGGAAAAGTCTAGACATGTATACATATATGCTTTGGCCTGAATTGCTCATACCAATTATCAGTGCTCCATTAGGAGTGAAAATTCTATGACATGTAGTCAGCTAATACTTTCAGACATTTCAGATCCAGTTTCTATAGCAACAAAAATATCTGAACAGAAAGACACTGCCCAAAGTATAACTACAAGTGGAGGTATACAACAGGCAGCGAAAAAACAAAAACACATCCTTACCAATATGGTGTCCCCACAAATGAATTGGCTGGAGATGCTATAGAAGCAGACCCAAAGTCAGCAAGTTTCACTTGGCCCGGCTCTGTGAGAAGGATGTTGCCCGCCTTGATATCTCTTAAAGGAAAAAATACAAAATATGTTAGAACATATGACAAGCTAAGTAAATAAATGTTCATGCTAATTATTTTATGAGACAGAACAGCTCAAAATTATTAAAGAGTAATTGAACTTTTGAAGCTATGCTTAGAAAAGGCAGGAAGGGTTTTTTACCTAGGCATTCGCTTGACCCCCACCTATGACTCATTGTTTGCTGCAAATTATTATCCATTGCTTCTCTCTGTGTCTTCTCTTATGCATTCTTGGCAATTTCCACACCTGTCTTGGATAGGACAGCTTAATTCAGTGAAAATGACCATCTTGCCGAAATTGTTATACTATTTTCACACCCTCCCAGTGCAGGTTACTCCTCAATTTCTTTGGTTGATTCAGGCGAAGATTATGCGTTTTTATCTGGGCCGATAAACGCCCCAGGAGTTTCCAGAACTAAGCTTTTTGTTCATAGACTTTAGGGTGGTCTTGGGGGTACCGAATGTATCTAAGTATTATCAGGCAAGCCAGATTGCCCTGCTATCTATGTTGCATGCTTCCTCAGACGTTCCTCTTGGAGTCCTGCTGGAACTACCTAATTGTGCCCCTATTGGGAGCATTGATGCTTCTATGGCTTACCCCTGCCTGTGCCCTACGGCACGAGTCCGATTTTGTTCCATGGCATACAAGTGTGGGATTCGGTAAGTTACTCCAGTGGCCTGATGTCACCTTTCTTGCCTTTGCTCCCAATTACTAACAACGATCTCTTCCTACCGGGTTTAGATCAACCAAGGGCGTTTTCTTGGTGGGTGGCCAATGGTTTTTCGCAGGTATGACACTTTTTGACTTCTTGGTCCTTCCCTACCTGGAATTTTCTTCGGGAGTCACAGCATGTTCCACCGGCGGAATTTTTTCATTACCTTCAATTGAGGCACTGGCTGATCTGATTACAGGGCACTTCTGCTTTCCTGTACGAGAAATCTGCCTTTGAATTGCTTTGCCAAAGCGCCCAGGCGCCCCGGGCCTTATTTCCCTTCTTTATGCAGCTTTGAACAGGCACACAACGCATACTTCTCTTTCATATGTTGTTCAGTGGGAGCGCGACCTGGGGGCAGATGTGGATCTGGAGGACTGGAATAGGGCCTGGTCGCTTATAGCTAAATGTTCATTTAATACGACCACGCTGGAGGCGGCATACAAAGTATTGTTTCGCTGGTATTGGGTTCCGGCTCATTTGGCCCAGGCGAACCCTGCCTGCAGTCATCGATGCTTTCGGGGTTGTGGTCATCGTGGTGAAGTATTGCATATCTGGTGGTCATGCCCGAGACTGCTTCGGGATGCTTGGTATGCTTTGCTTCATTGTCCCATACCGGGCCTCTTGGCTCGTCAGCAGAAGTTGGCTTCCTATTTGTTTTTGTCGGCCACTAGAAAAATTGCTCAGGCCTGGGAGAGCCCGTTTGTCCCTCTTCAAGGGGTGCGGGACCGTATGACCGCTATGATGCTCAATGAACAGATGTTGAGTATCTGCAACGACTCCCAACATAAATTCTTGAAAATATGGGAGCCGTGGTCGCAATATGCCTTTCCCACGCTCCCCCTGGCTAGTCTGGGGATGTGATGTTGTTCGGCATTGGTGTTCTTGGATCCCTGCTCTTGGTTTTGTTGTCTTTTTTTTCTGTTGTACTCCGCCTTTCTTCTCTTTTTTTTTTTGTTGCTGTTTGTTTTTGGTGTGGCAGTGGATAACTGCCTTTAGTTTGATTTACTATCAGTGTTATACTGTTTTGTTATTTAAGTGCCATTAATAGCCCCTGCGTAGGTGCAACTTTGCGCTGTTGGTGTTAGAGCACTGATTTTTCTAATTTTCTAATTTTTTATGTGCAATTGATAGCCCCTGCATGGGTGCGATTTGTTGCTCCTGTGTTAAACTGTTACAAATTAATAAAACCATTGAAATACAGAAAAGGCAGGAAGAGGACAAAGGACTGGTCCTCAACATTGCCTGCGGTCTCCCTGCAGTGGCTCTTTTCTGCATTACTGACTTACCATGCCTTGTTCTGGACTTGCTGTGCCTGTGTGGAGGAAGCCATCTTGGTAGAATCAGGGTATTTGTCTTTTCAAAGCAGAGCTTTCAGCAAGGGGAACAGTGAGAAGCACAGTAGTGGCATCACCAAATATTACTCCAAATCTCATGAGAAAGGTGTTGAGGTAGCAATCCCTTGGATCTTTTACTGTAGATATACAGCTACCTCACTTACCAGGAATTTCACTTTTTTCCCAGAAGGAATTCAAAACAAAAAGGTGCATTTTCAAGGTACTGCTTAGACACAATTATCACTTCTACATGTTCCTTATAGCATAGCAAAGCTTCACATTTTGAATTCAGTTTCAAAAAATGTAGGCTATTTTTCAGGACATTTCAGCAGCTTTGTTAAAATGTAATAAAAGTACATTGTAATGGAACTAGCACAAGAACCTAGAATTGTCTTTAGACAAGTCTTCTGCAATCTTCTGCACAGCAGCCCCCAAAATGGAAGTAGGAGGGACAGTTGAGTCAGTCAGCTGCACTTTAAAAGGCAACCTGCCTAAAAACTCTGGCTGACCTCCATATAAAAACCATATTTGCCAAACGGTTATACCGACACACACTGCCATCAACACTTGATCACTGATGGAAAACAAGTGTGCAGATTAGGACAGTTTTATAGAAGTCATAAGTCCTTATCTGCAAGGCTGCAGGTTACTGATTCCAACACTTAGAATTTGCAGATGCAGAAGTCTGTACATGTTTTTCTAATAAGAGGTTTCTTTAAGACAGTTAACATATTTACAGAAGAAGAGGAATGCAAAAAGAGAACCCTATCAGTGTGCTGCTACTCCTCAATTGTTCAATCACAAGGTGGGTTCTAGACCAGGCTCTATCACATAACTTCACTGAGGTCCAGGACCTCTCTAGGATTCCTGGATCAAAAACATATGTATTTTAATTGTGTTTTTAAATTTTTGACTGGAGTTTAGCCTAGACTAGTTAATTATTTTGAAAGTTATAAAAGAGAAATAACTATAACAAATTCAGATTCAAGCTTCAAGACTTCAAACTTATAACCCTCTCTCAACCTTTTAAACACAAAGGAACCCTTGAAACAACATTCTCAGGGTCTCAGGGAACCCCAGCTAAAAATGACTATATTTACAACTCATGATACATTAGTCTGACAGTCAGTGGGAAGAATGCTACTTACACTTGTGGACAATCGGAAGAATTACCCCTTACAGAAAGCTAAAAAGATTTATTAGGAACTTATCTGGGAGGCAGAAATTGCTCAAGGAACCTTTAGAAACCTCTGCAGGAACCATAGGGGTCCATGGAACACTGGCTGAGCCTTAATGTTTTATTTTTTTTATGTAGCAGGGGCAATTTAGACACTGTCCGTAAGAAACGGTACCCACCTATGGGGAGGTTGCTGGAACAGAACTAGGAAGGCCACTGACAGTTACTAAGCGAGGTCAGCAAATGTTTTCCTTACAAAATGATGCACAATTGGGCCAATGTACAAAAGTCAAATGTGTGAATATTTACTTCAGTTATTCAATCAGATGAAATAAGTAAACAGGAATGTGGTTTTCACATGACTGGATAACTGAAGTAAATATTCACACAATTTACTGCGTGATGATCTTTTAAAAATCCTTTAGTAAATAAGCCTCAATGCTTCACAAACTATGAATTTCGCATTTTAAAAAGGACTTGACAACATACCTCAAACCTGGAAAGTATCCATGCTGGCCACTGTACACGTACTGACCACTGCACTTGCTAAAAAAAACCTAGTTAAAATCTTCCTATGCCTTAAATTATTGTAGTTTTTATTATTGAGCAAACACATTTTACCAGCAAATGACTTTGGACATGATGCCAATTAAGTACACTGCATAAAGCCTTGTGGCAGACAGTACAAGTTGATTCTCTACAAAAAACATTTTTAACGTTAATTGAAAATTGTAAATACAAATGTGAGAAAAACTTTACTCATATGTACATATACTTTAAACAACACCCTATATTAAAATTTATAATACACTCACCGATGGATTAAATTATGAGAATGCAAATAAGCTAATCCCTGCAGTGCTCCATGTGTAATTGCGGCAATTTCATTTTCTTGCAATGGCTTTTTGTGTACTGAAAGAAGAGCATTAAATATTAAAACAGCATATACCCAACAACCTGTAACCTTTAAGGTTAAATTACTAACATTTATCACTCTGACTGGTACCAAGAATAGGCGGCTTTGATGTCTTAACTCATATGGATCAAGTGCTAGTAAATTACAGTTTCCTTCTATAGAATTTGTAGATAAAAGAAAAATAAAATATAAAAAACACACCAGCACCAATTTTCTAAAGTTTAATTTCTATGTTTCTAATAAAGATTGGTGACTCCGCAGACTACTGATCTTTACTCCAGCCCAAGACCTATCTTTCAGCTCAGTGTTTGCGCTGGGAGCACACTCTTAGCACACAAACATCGAAAGCATAGTGACATATATTCTGAGCATAAGAAATGAACTTTTAAAACATTATAAGTTTCATTTACGTCAATTTAGGAATTACCTTCTAATAAGTCTGATGCAGATCCTAAGCAATATTCCATGACCAGCTATGAAGAGAAGAATATAAGTATTAACGTTTTGCAAAATATTATACAACACAGATCAACAAACTGCTGCTTAAGGCTACTTTCACACTGAAAGGAAGGACGTTGCTGATGGTCAAGCTAAATGACCACAAGAAGACAAAGTCAGAATGGGGGCAACCATCAAGAGGGTACTAGTGACCTAAACAAATATACTACCAAGCTCAAGGGAGCCTAAAGGCTGAGCAAGAGTTAGTGAAACAATCTGCGACAGTGCCACACATGTGAGGTTATCGCCGCAAAATATCGGAGTGAGAGATGTAATTCTAGGGCCACAATTCACGGTTAACTCTAAACAGATGATCTATAAAGACTTTTAAAGCATCCTCTATGAATAATTGTAAGCATGCTAGTTTCTAGCAATTTCACAGTTGTGCCCAAAGTTGTATCTTAAAATGTTTGGTACCCATTTACTTGAGGCAACTCCATCTTTTATGTTTTATAAAAAAAAAACTGGGGATTACATTGTATCGTAGTGTGTGGACCTGAAAATATGAGTTTGATAAACAGCTGTGCAAATGTTGTCTGATGCAATGGCCACCATTCTATTTTCCAGGGTACAGTTTAAAAAAAAAAAAAAAAAAAAAAAACAAAAAAAACTGCCCCAGTAGGGACCTTGCACCAGGTATACCACAGTTCTGACCTATAAAGCACCCTGCAGCTAACTGCACATTACACTGCATGCCAATGGGGGGTGAGCACCGCAGGATCCAGTACAAAAGAAACATTACAGGTTGGCGGGGTTTGGGGTATAGTGCTCCATGGTGCTACCAAGAGTTCCACAGATCCAGAGGCTGCAGACATAGCTGAGAGAGAGAAAGAGAGAAAGACAAAAAATGTTTCATCATCTACAGACACTAGAAGACTGAGGCTATTTGGGAGTGCCAGGGGTTATACATGGGGATGTCCATGTGGCCTTTTTTGCCAGTGTCCAGTCACCTGAAAGTAGCTGCATATAACCCAGTCATAATGATTTAAAGAAGCCGGATGCCTGTACTGTACAATCAGTAAATGTATCTCTAGCAGCAAACAATCTCCTAAATGAGAAAGCACGATCCCAACAAAATGAGGTAGTAAAATTAAAATCAATGACAGAAAAAGAATAGACTTCATGCTTTTCCTACAAGAAACAATAACCCCAGTTATATTTATTAAACAATAGCATAGGAATTTTCAAAATCAATATATAAACCGTATATTCACTGCGCAAATGAGATGTAAAAATATATAAAAAAAAAAAAAAAAACACATAATAAATCACTCACCTAAGTCAATAAATGAGTGCATAAAATGTGTAAGCACGCAGCTGCCCTAATAGTGAATAATGCAATAATCACCTCATGAACCAATGATGAAAAAAAGCAGCGCAAAAAAAAAAAAAAAATAAATATAACACACACACACACACGCACACACACACGCAGAGCGAAAATATAACACAAAATAAAACGCTGTAAATATACACAAATATTTTAATCATTTGACACAAGTCCATCAACTGAAAAATGAAAATTGTGATGAAGAGCAAAGTCCTTACTGATACACCGAAATCACCACGTAAAACATAACGATAATTAAGTGCACTCAGATATCACCACGTGCTCCAGAGGAAAACCTCCCCCAATTCAGTAGCACTCACCAGATATCGTGGCCTATCCAAACCTGATAGGCAATAGCGCTTATGGCGAGTGTCAGCGTAGTACAGACCATCAATCAACAAGCCCTTCATCAATTAGAGAATGATATGATGACGGGACATCCTCCAAACTATTACACTCTGTAATCAAGGAAAGATGTAAAAGGAAACTCATGGCATGAATCCATTAAAAAACATTTATTGTGTAGAAAGTATTGCACTCGCATGAAATAAATGAAAGCATGCCAAAATATTCACAATAACCGAGAATGGTATCTGTATATCACATGAAGTGAGCGTCTCACCCGCTTTGATAAAGTCAAGTGACGAAACACGTGTCAGGGTCGAGCCGCACGACATAGTCTGTAATGAGGCATCCACCTTACATCCCCCGCTGGAAGTGACGTATCACTCGCATGCAGCGAGGAGGATCGAGTGAGACGCTCGCTTCATGTGATATACAGATACCCTTAACGGTTATTGTGGATATTTTGGCATGCTTTCATTTTTTTCATGTGAGTGCAATATTTTCTACCCAATAAGCGGCTTTTAATGGATTCATTCCATGAGTTTCCTTTTACATCTTTCCTTGATTACAGAGTGTAATAGTTTGGAGGATGTCCCGCCATCATATCATTCTCTGATGAAGGGCTTGTTGATTGATGATCTGTACTACGCTGACACTCACCATAAGCGCTACTGCCTACCAGGTTTGGATGGGCCAAGATATCTGGTGAGTGCTACTGAATTGAGGGAGGTTTTCCTCTGGAGCACGTGGTGATATCTGAGTGCACTTCAATCAATCAATTATCGTTTTGTTGTTTACGTGGTGATTTCAGTGGATCAATAAGGACTTTGCACTTCATCACAATTTAAATTTTTCAGTTGATGGACTTATGTCAAATGAACTAAATATATGTGTATATTTTTACAGTATTCTATTTTGTGCTATATTTTCTCTCTGCTAGTGAGATATTATATAATTTATTTTTTGCGCTGCTTTTATCCACCATTAATAGCATAGGAATGTCCAGCAATTTATTTCAACTGCTAATATTTTGGTTAGGGAAGAATAACTTTTTGTTTTTTTCCCCAATGAAAGACAACATTGGTATTGGGGTTAGGTTCCTTCACACCAATGTTGGCAGAAGCTGTGAAAAACTGCGCTCAATCATGCTAACAATAACTGTAAATGGGTGTAATTTGCCTGTGACAGCGTACAGTAGCAGACAGGGAATAAACATCCCAAAGCAATAACAGTTCTACAAGAAAACAATTTTATCTACTAGACTGGCTACATGACTTGTCAAAAATCACTTGCAATTTGAAAAGGTAACCGCATATCAAAAGAAGCCTAAAATTATAGTAGGGGAATCTAATACTTTGTTTATATTCTGGTATTAGCGAGCTTCTGGGAAGTAAATATGAATTCACAATAGTTTGTAGAGATACTCAGTTTGGAGTAAAATATCCAATAACACACAAAAGACACATCAAGATCCACTGAGACCATGCAGATACAGTGATAACACAATGGCACAGTGGTATTTGAGTGAAATGATTCTTACCCATGCTGTATGCTCCCTCAAATAGCAGCCTTTATATTCTATACTGTTTGGATGTTTTATCCTTTGAAGAAATTTCACTTCTTTGATGATATCCTGCCATTTCTGTAGAAGGAAATATATATAAAAAAAATCTCTTTCATATGACCAGTATAAAAAAGTGATAAAGAAAACAACACACACACACACACTAAAGAACTATTTTAAGAGGAAAACATCTAAAAAGGGCTACAGTATTTCTTCAGAAATTTAAACAGGTTGCCTTTGTAAAAAGGTATTAAAAGACAAAACATATTAAATACCTGAGAAGTGTTTTACTTTAATATAAGACAAATTGGAGATTTGTACATCAAACCAGAATAGAATCATTACAAATAAGAAAAAAACATTTGAGGACATTAAAGACGACTAAGTAGTTGCACTTCTGCTTGGCAGTGCTAGGTTTGACGGTTTGAATCTCAACCACAGCACAACCTGCTTTGAGTTTGCATGTTGTACTTGTGCCTGCGTGGGTTTCCTCTGGGTACTCCGATGTCTTCCCACACTCCAAAGACATGCTGGTAGGTTAAATGGCCCTAGTATGTATATGTATGAATGTAGTTCGGGACGTTAGATTGTAAGCTCCTTGCGGACAGGGACTGATGTGAATGTATAATACATATGTAAAGTACTGCAGAAAATTGACTGCGCTATATAATTACTGTAATAAATAAGAAGTTCCCTTGATGGCAGAAACTGGATGGGGAGGGTGAAGGTCCCCTTTAACTGCATCTCACAAGCAGATTATAGATTAGTGTTATACTACACAATACCCCCTGCTGAGTGATCATTAACCTACATTCCAACTTTTACAGCTAGCAGCTGATGCTATGAACTGCTGTTAGCTATCAGGCTGGGTTATCACTGACAGCTCAAGTTCCCAATAAAAATGGGAAACCAGGCTGATGGCTCTTGATTACAAGTGTTTAAAAGTATCAAATAAATCTTTATATATTATTTAAAACAATGTAAAAAATATTTAGGTATAACTACTGACAGTTACAGTCACGTTAACCAACACGGCTTTGGCCTGGACATCTAGGCTTATATGACGACTGGTCACAAAAAGGATATAAACCCTACAGTCACCCAAGTTCATATACACAGTGGCTGAAAGGATGGATAAATAAGTATATGTTCCCATACCTGGTAGATAACCCACCATGCCAAAAATGGGGTGTGAAAGAGTATTAGGCCAAATGGCACAAAGCACTT